TCTGCTTGACGAAGGTTGGTCTGCAGGGAGAAGACTCTAGGTGGTGGTGGGCAGACAGGAGGCATGGCCTCAACCAGGGGCGGACTGACCATTTGGAAACTCGGGCACTGCCCGAGGGCCCGGGGTCAGTAGGGGGCCCCATGAGATGCCCCTAGTACCTTTTTCATAGGCTTTTTTGAGTTTGGGAAAGGACACAGGGGCCCCATGATCCTCTATTGCCCGGGGGGCCCCATGAGTTGTCAGTCCGCCCCTGGCCTCAACTGAGAGTGAAGTGACGGCAGGCACAATAATAGCAGCTGAGGCTCCAGGCAGTGAGTAACAAGTAGTGGGCAGGTACAATACTCAGCATGGCCCTTGTGCTAGTGGAGCTAACTAGAGCGAGCCTTTGCACATATGACAGAGGGAAGCTGCCCAAGCATGGTCTTGTCATCCATCTCACTAGTGTGAAGGGAGGGCTGGGTAGGTAGCAGTCTAAAGGTGGTGGGCAGGGAATGTAAGCTGAAGAAGGTGGTGGGCAGTGAGCAAGTTTATTCAGTGCAACGCTTTGAAATTTAAATTATGTTTGGTAAAAGATTTCATCTGCATTATTTACATTTACATCTGTCAGCGCGTCCTGTGAATGACACTGCGACTGCCTTTGCAGCCCATTCTTGAACTTGAGTTTTACATAACCACCTTGCCTCATTGGACATATTATGCACATTCAGAGTGAGAGGGGTTTACAAGAAGCTCATGGCAGTAGCAGCAAAGAGATTGTATTTTTTTCCTTTAGCCAGTTGTAATGTAAAATTGATTCTGTATGGGTACAAAATTACTTCACAGTGCTTGTGGTGTGGCATCTTACCCCTCTGCCCACCCCAACTCCATGGTTCCCAGGCTCTCCTGCTCATCTAGGAGCCCAAAGCCACACCTAATATGCTCTTGATGGTGAAAGGGAGGAGGTTGGGGAATATCCATTTCCCAATCTCCACTGCTGTCTATGAAGCTGGAAGCAATCCTCTCTGAGCTCTGGTTGCAGAGCTGTCATTCCCTGGCTGCTGTGGACAGGGAAACGGCCAACAAAATGCAATATATGCTTGATTAGCTGCAATAGAGGACAAAGGAGACATGGGTGTCTAATATACCCCTGATGACCCCATAAGGATGACCTGTCTCCTGCCCGAGGCTGTTACATAGGGGGCTTGTTAGTGATTTAGTTGAGGACTAAATTGTCCAGTGCTTATCTGCTCCTGTCCAAATTAATCATTCTAGCTTTGGAATGTGCGCACACTGGAAGAGACTCACGCTGACACACATGTTCAGTCTATGAACACTTCTAGTTCTATTATAATGAGAAAGTGAGCTTATATATGCAAAATGATGCAAGAGTCATGTGAGAACAGCATAAGCATTATACTAGTCTTTGATTGGTCATTTCCACACGAAAACAATCTCCATCATGGTATAGGTGTGATCTTCTTCCAGGTCTTATCTATAGAAAGAAAAACATTCCTTTGTCTCAAGTTGGCAGGATGGGAGGGGGGTCGGTGCTTGTGAGCAGCCATTTCTTAAGCAAGGATTTCTTAAAATACCACAAAGCCCAGAAGGCAGAAAATATTCACACAACATATATATATATATATATATATATATATATATATATATATATATATATATATATATATATATATATATATATATATATATATATATATATATATATAAAACATTTAGAAATATAAAAAAGTATAAAAGTAGATATGTATAAAATGTATAGAAAAATGTATATATTCTAGGACACCAAATAGGCATTTTACCATATCCATCACATTAGCCCACTTGTGATAGCAATAAAGTTAAACAAAAAGTAGAATAAATACATTTTAAAAATTAAAAAAAAGAAATAATAATAAAATCAATAACAAATAAAAATGAATAAAAAGATTAAAAAGTTAAAAGCAACCCGCCTGTCAAGTGTATGTAAATGGAAATTGCACCACGTGTTGTATAAAGCCATGAACATCGAATTGAGAGCAGTACTGATAGGTCCCTCATTTGTAGTTTATTCTTTACTGATCATTGCCTGTTGATAAATTTGAGACCATAATATTTTGCCTTTTTTCAGGTGATTGCAGTTTTGAGGCTTGACCCATGTGTTATGTATTTACTCTACACTACCTCATCTTACATTTATGGGAGTTTTTAGTAATTTTAGAGGCAAAAATGTGGATTTTAACTTAGTATTTAGGTTTACCTGCATTAAATTAAAAAACTCCCCACTACCTGTTCTACCCACCCCCATCCCTAACCACTTATCTGGCTGCTGTTACCGCTCCAATGCTGTTTCGGCTGCATCACCACTCCCTTCACTTCCTGGTCTCACAGGAGACACTGAGAGCAGCAGGAGCCATAGGCTGCAGTCACTCAAGTGCCTGTTAAGAGGGAGAAGGGGCAATGCTCACAGACTTTGTGTGGGTCTATGAACACACACAGCATGGCTCAGGAGCGTACATGCACGGGTGCCTCCATAGCGCTCAGCTTTTTAAGGAGGCACTTTGGAGGAAGAAACAGTAAACAGCGCCGGTGGAGAACTGCCAGAAGAGGAGATAAACAACTTTGAGTAGGTAAGTATAATATCTTTTTTTTTTTTTTTTTTTTTTTTTAAAGTGGTTCTAAAGACTGAAGGTTTTTTAACTTTATGCATTCTATGCATGAAGGTAAAAAACCTTCAGTGTGCAGCCTTCCCATCAGCCCGTAATACTTATCTGAGTGTGATCACGATCCAGTGCTATGCCTGAGAGCCTTGGCTCTTCCAGATCTCTTCCTTTTCACTGGCTGAGACACAGAGGCAAGGGCCATTGGCTCCTGCTGCTGTCAGTCACAGCCAGAGAGGAGGGGGCGGGGCTGAGCTGTGCTCTATATGACATATGGACATACAGGGCTGGCTTGGGAGCAAGTTCACACGAGCACCCCCCCCCAAGGGGGGCACTTGGCATTGGGGAGGAGCCAGGAGCGCTGGCGTGGGACCTGAGAAGAGGAGGATCGGGGCTGCTCTGTACAAAACCATTACATAGAGCAGGTAACTATGACATATTTGTTATTTTAATTTAAAAAAAAAAACCTGAAGCTTTACAACCAAAAAAACCCCTCAGTATCACTTTTTGTGTGCAAAAAATGAAAAAAAAAGAGTGTTCTAGAGAGGGACGGTTTAAAGGATAAGTTCACCTTTTTATATAAATAAATAAATGCACATCTTTTTGGAGATAAAAAACATGCATTTTTAATTTCTTTTAAACTATAGCCTGTAAAGCATTGCACCTGCGATCAGCAGATTATGGGTGCAATGCCAGGCTCCTGAAGACTCTCAGTCAGCTGTCTTCCCATACCTCCCGTATGGGCAGACAGTTACTGAATTGCAGCAAGAATCAACGAACTACCAGAGTGCTTATCAGTGTCCTCGTAGTTCATTAAGGACTACATAAGGCATCGGCTGAGGCGGCTGATGGTACTTGTAGTTTAGTCATTCACGCAGCTGTGTGGGCTGTTTTCAAATTGTGAAAGCGGGTGCAGGGAGAGGATCCTTCGCCACTGTCTTGTCGGGGGTGTTGGGTGGGGGAGGTCGTGGGGGGCAGGTGATCGGGGAGTGCAGATAGGTGCTGTACTGTAACATGTTACATGTTTCACCCTATATACGGGTGTATCATGTTACAAGGATGAACGTATCATTTAATGAGTCTCTGTCTTTGTTATTTAATATTCAGCAATGTATTTAAGGCCTCATTCACATGGGATTTATGTGTGAAGTGCTGCAAGAATCCAGTGTATGGCTGTAGCTGGATTCACAGGTAGATGGGAATAGTTGAATTGGCTCTGCTTGCAAAAAGCAATGATAGGCTGACGGTGCCTTCAGCTGTCCTCCAGTGTCCACATGTAATTGCACATGAACTAATTACCTGGAGTTAGGCGCAGATGTTTGCCCCTGGAGGAGATAATCTGTCCCTAACCACAGGTAATCCAGTTATATGGAATACATTGGATGTTTGCAGCACCTCTGGCAGCCAGGGAGTTAGCATGTAACAGAATTAGTATGCAAGTACGTTAGTTCAGCTTGCTTGTTCAGTAAAGTTGAAGATTCACCATTCACCCTAAATGTTTTCTTAAATTGAACATGTGACATTACAGAAGAGGTTCAGTTTAATATAACTAATTATTACTAGCTATATCATGACCTTGATATCTACTAGAAATTAAAGGATTTTTCTTTTGAATTATATAATGTTTCATTAAAACCCAGCTCCAGGAAACTTAAAAAGATCTCTTGCAGTGCTGGCGCAGTGTAATAACTGTTCATTTAGTCCAGGGGAGAGGAGAAGAACTTTCCTGATCCTCCATTTCTGTGGCATATGGTGCTCCCCCATGTTCTAGCAGGTGACTGTCCCTTGTTGTCATCACGTCCATTGCTGGGTGTAGACCCTGCATTGGTCTTCATGACATCAGGACTTTAGGCCTCTGGAACATAAGGGAGGAGATGCTGCTAGGACCAGTCTAGCAGCTTAGAGGAGTGGAGGACTGTGTATGTAGATCTTCTTTTCTATGTCCCCTAAACCTAAACAATTAACCCTTGTGGGTGCAGCCCCACTGTAAGGGATCATTTTTATATTTCCCGGAGTTTGGCTTTAGTAAAGTAATGTTATATTCAAGATGTTTCTTACTTTCACAGAGTGCCTAACCAAGACAAGGAGCCATGGGTGACTGGACCTTCCTCGGGGAATTCTTAGAGGAAGTACAGAAACATTCCACAGTGGTGGGGAAAGTATGGCTGACCATACTGTTCATCTTCAGAATGTTGGTCCTTGGCACTGCTGCGGAATCTTCCTGGGGAGACGAAAAATCGGACTTCATGTGTGACACCACCCAACCCGGTTGTGAAAAACGTTTGCTACGACAAAGCATTCCCCATCTCCCACATCAGATTTTGGGTCCTCCAGATCATTTTTGTGTCCACTCCATCCTTACTCTATATGGGGCATGCCATGCACACAATCAGGATGGAGGAAAAGAAAAAATTCAGGGAAGAGGAAATGAAATCCAAACAGGACATGAACAGAGACTCAAACTACCACCAGCAAGTGTACCCAACTGAAAAAATAGAACTTCCCTATAAGGATGAGATCAGCGGAAAAATCAGGCTTCAGGGAAGCTTGTTAAACACGTACGTGTGTAGCATTCTCATCCGCACTGTGATGGAGGTAGCTTTTATCGTTGGACAATACATGCTGTATGGAATCTTTTTGGAGACTCTCTATATTTGTAAGAGGAAACCCTGTCCCCATCCTGTGAACTGCTACGTATCCAGGCCAACTGAGAAGAACGTATTTATCGTTTTCATGTTAGCAGTGGCCATACTCTCACTTCTGCTGAGCCTAGTTGAACTCTACTATTTGTCATGGAAGGCTCTTAAACAGAAAATAACTAGGCCACCACCAAGTGGCCAAAATGCCTTAAGGGTGGCCACCATAGAGCCGGAGCACCGCTCCCAGAGCTGTACACCTCCGCCAGATTTTAACCAATGTCTAAGCACCGGCAAAGGCAAGTTTGGCACCCCCTTCAACAACACACTTGCATCTCAACAAAACACGGTCAACTTTGCCACCGAGAGGGTCCAAACTGAAGATGACATCGGACAAGGACAGTTCATCCACATCAACTATTCACAAAACGCTCCGGTGACCAACCACTCCGCGCCACACCACCTGCCTAACGGTTACTGCCAGAGCGGTCGGCGTTTGAGCAAGACAAGCCGCACTAGCAGCAAAGCCCGCTCAGATGATTTGGCAGTGTGAACTCCACATTTCTTAGGGTTTCTTGAGGATTTTATAACCTTCCTATTGTTACGTATTTATATAGCCGTAGAAAACAATCTATTTTGGGTTGTGTTGGCTTTCTGGATGTAACTGTTTTTTGTACTGTAATTTGTGGCTTAAGGGCTCATAGGTGCCCGAGTCTGTTCAACATACATTTCTGTGTATTTTTCCTGCCCAGAAAGCCCAGGTTTTGCGTACAGCCTCCCATAGAAATGGATGCATGGCTGTATTTTGGGTATAGCATACAGGTGTATGCAAAAAAAATAAACATTTTAGGACACATAGGATATAGTCATGTTTATGATAGCACCGGCATATAGTGAGCTCCATTTATGTCTACTAGAGGCTGTATACTGTACCTGGGCTTTCTGGATGGAGGAGAGACACTGAGATTTACGTTTAGCATGCTCTGGTACCCGTGTGTGAGAGACCAAAAACTTTGTGTCAAGAAGCAGTTTAATAAAGATGAATTTACTTAACGCCAGTTCCATTTACATGTCAGAAGGTTAACAGGCAAACCAACGTAAAACTGGTCTTTTTCTACTTTTGGTGTACACAGTACAGTGGATAATTCTTTGAAGGGGTCCAGATCTTATCAGCAAACCTTTTGCTTTCAGATGGAGGTACTAAGGAGTAGAACCTTTTCTGCTTTATTGACCTCCTGAAAGAATTTTCCCCTCACTCATTGTCCCAGTGACAACAGTTTCACACAGGTATTGAGGGAACGTCTGAGACAAAAACTCAAATAGCAATAAAATGCTGTTAAGGATTCTAGACTTTTCACTATTATAAAAAAAAAAGCCTTTTCAGATCTTCCTACACTTCCTCTATGAAGAAACAGTTATTACCAGAATAGAAACTGAGGGGAGATCTCTGTAATGGAGTCCTGAATAGCAGTAAAAACCCCGCAGAGGTTCTAATACTTCCCCAATTGATGCATAACAAAAAAAAGTGTTTTGGCTGGATATCCACTTTCACTAGGGCTAGACTGCACCATAATGATCTAATAGGTAAGAGACCCAAGGAACTCAAGTTAAAAATATTGTTTGCAAGAGGACTTTAGATACATACGGGTCCTTTCAGACTGGTGGACCCATTGGGGTTTGTTTACTAAAGCTGGAGAGTCCAAAATCAGACTCCCTTCTGCATAGAAACCAATCAGCTTCCAGGTTTCATTGCCAAAGCTTCATTGAACAAGCTGAGGTTAGAAGCTGATTGGTTTCTATGCAGAAGGGAGTCTGATTTTGGACTCTCCAGCTTTAGTAAATAAACCTCAATGGGTCCACCAGTCTGAAAGGACCCGTATGTATCTAAAGTCCTCTTGCAAACAATATTTTTAACTTGAGTTCCTTGGGTCTCATAAACCCCATTGGGTCCGCCTGTCTGTTTTTCAGGCAGACCTGATCTGACCAACGAGTGCCCTCTATGGAGACGTGTCCGTTTGTACCCGCCTGCATTCCATTTACATACGACCGCCTATAGAGGAAAGCAGGCTGTGTCTGTGTCCACTCTGCATAAGCGGAGCAGACACGGACCGGTCACCCGCCTGCTCAGCGGACAGATCCCCCGATGAGCAGGTGGATCCACTTGCAGAGTCTGCCCATATGAAAGGGGCCTAAGAGGCTGGGAGGAAAGCTTGTTTGCATCCATACAAACCTATAATAGACTTTAGTTCTAACCTTTTTTCAGATTTGATGGAATGAGGAAAGGTGCATAAAGCCAATATCTGTTGCAGTCACACATTAAAGTTCTGTTTGTCTTTGATTTGTAGAAATAATGCAGACTTAAACAAGATCAAATCAATATTTTATGTTTTTAAAGTTTTTTGGGGTTTTTTTTTTTAGATATGCTTTACATGTAAACGTTTGTCTTTTCGAACTATATTCCAGTTGTGTTTAGACTAAACATCTGGCTACTAAAGATGGATCGAAATTCATCTGGTTTGCCAGAGACCAGCTGAATTCGATCCATGTATGAGCACTGTGAGGGACCGCCTGTCGCCCCAATTGGGTCATTCTGCCAGAGAACTGCTTTCTCACTGCTGGGACACAGGAACAAAGTATTGTAGCTGGGCATTGCACCCAAGACTAGATGACATTATCACACACCTCCCAAAGAGTAGATCCCCCTCAAATGCCAGGGCTCATAGTCAGTAGGCAAGACGCTAGCCTGCAGTCTCCTCCAAAAGACTCTGTCCCATTTGGGTCTATCACAGGCACTGATATTGTCAACCAATCAACTTCTATACAACCGTCCTGCTGGAAAATCTCCTCTCAATCAGTGCTGCAGGCTACAGCCTGCAGCTCTGATCAGTGTATTCTGGTGCAGGGAATCCTCCCTGCTGTCAGAATACAATGACACAGCAGAAAATTTCCCCTATCCACCTCAAATGCGAGGATGGGGGAATTGGATCAAGTTTTTTTTTCATTCAACCGACTGACTTCCCGACTACAACTGTGGCAGTTGGTGTACACCCAGAAAGATCCCATCATTCACCCACCTCTCCTGTCCCCTAATCTGTTCACAGAACACTATGTATTCAGTGAAAAGGAAACTAAGCAATGAGTAATCTCCGGACGATGTAAATGTTCTGATTAGGGATGAGCTTCGACTATTACACGACTATTACACGCAAGTGTACAATCCAAACGCACACGTTCCTGCGTTAAAAATTAAATTGTGTATAAATTGGTGCTGCAGCGACAGTCGGCTGGAACTGAACAGAATCAGCAAAGGAGAATGTCACCAGCATTCTGGTGACATTCTCCCTCGACGATGGAATGGAGCCATGTTTGGTCCAATGTTAATGTTTTAGGCCAAACAAACGTAATGGGTTGTTCGACAGCCAAATCTCCACCAGAACCAGGAAGTGAAACATTTAGCAGCAGCAGCCTCCTAGGAGCTTATCCTGCTTGTAAGAGAGCCAGCGACTACCAGCTTCCTAGCCACCTTTGGCATATTCCGGCCCAGCCAATTCAGCTGCCAGAGATTTTCCGTCTGCCAACAAAAGGTAAACAAAGGGGTGGGGATGGTGACTGATGTGCAAAATGACAAAAATAAGCAACCCTTCAGATTTAGTATGGATTTAATGAGGGAACCCAAACACAAAAAAAAACTAGAAAAAAGTGTTTGGTCCCCCCCAAAAATCCACGCCAGACCCTTATTCGTGTATGCAACCTGGTTAGCCAGGAAAAGGGGAGAGGAGCATGCAGCACCCCCTCATTCCATCCCTGCCTTCTGATCCATACCAGGCAACACGCTCTCAAAATGGGAAAAGGCCTTTCCAGGGGGTCCCCCCCAGCACAGCACCTTGTCACTAGGCTGATGATGTAAAGGGCCTCTTCTCCCCACTCTGGCCAAGTTGTTGTGGGGGTCTGTGAATGGGGGGGGCTTATTGGTATCTGGAAGCCTCCATTTAAAATTAAGGGGCCTGCCAGAGCCCCCTCCCCTTACCATAATTATTGAGGGTACATAGTGCCCCTACTCATTCACAAAAAAACCCAAAATGTCCCATGATATAAACCACGTCAATCACATTATCCACATGCAGGGGGAAAATAGGGCACATTATGTGGGGACACAGTAGACACGTGTGATGTAACAATAATGGTGATACCCCCTCAGGGGACAAATGTAATACACCCTTCCGATGTATATAGTAACCCCCTCCCGCCTGCCATATAGTAATATGAGGGACGCAAGGTGGTTCTCTCATTCTGGACGACGTCATATGACGTCCTCCCATTCTAACCGCACATGCGCGGCTCCCGGAGCGCTCAGCGGTGCGATCGGTGGTGCGCTGTGTCCCTTGGACACAGCGGATCACCGATCCACGGAAAGAGCTGAAGATGTCGGCTCAGTCATGTGATCAGCTGTGTCCAATCACAGCTGATCACATGTAAACAGGGAAATGCCGGTTATCTGCATTTCTCTCCCCACGAGCGGTCACGCTGACAGAGGAGAGGAGAGCCGGTAATCGGCATTCCTCAGAGGAGACATCTACACAGATCATCAGAGCACTGATGATCAGTGTGCCCTGATGATCTGTGTAGCCCCAGCATTGCCACCTATCAGTGTCCATCAGTGCCAGCTCTCAGTGCTCATCCATGCCACATTTCAGTGCCACATCAATGCCACATATCAGTGCCCATCTGAGCTGCCATTTAGTGTCACCCATCAGTGCCAGTCAGTGCCACCTATCAATGCTACCACTCAGTGCCATCTATCAGTGCTACCACTCAGTGCCACCTATCAGTGCCAGTCATTGCCGCCTGTCAGTGTGTGCATCAGTGCCATATATGAGTGCTGCCTTTCAGTGCCCATCAGTGAAGCCTGTCAATGCCCATCAGTGCCACCTACCAGTGCCTCTTCATCAGTGCCACCTATCAGTGTCCATCAGTGCAGCCTATCAGTGCACCCTCATTAGCGCACATCAGTGAAGGAGAAAAATCACTTTACAAATTTTATAACAAAAACTAAGAAAAAACGTTTTTTTTTGTTTTCAAAATTTTCAGTGGTTTTTGGTTTGTTTAAGAAAAAAATAAAAAACCCCGAGGTGATTAAATACCACCAAAATAAAGCTCTGTCTGTCACAAAAAAATGATAAAAATTTCATATGGGTACAGTGTTGCATGACCACGCAATTGTCATTTAAAGTGTGACAGCGCTGAAAGCTGGAAATTGGCCTGGGCAGGAAGGGGTATAAGTGCCCGGTAGGCGAGGGGTTAAGAAAAAAAACAAAAAACAAAAACTGACTACCAAATAACAGCAGTACACTCACCGGCCACTTTATTAGGCCCACCTTGCTAGTCCCGGGTTGGATCCCCTTTTGCCTTCAGAACTGCCTTCATTCTTAGTGGCATAGATTCAACAAGGTGTTGGAAACATTCCTAAGAGATTTTGGTCCATATTGACATGTTACTGTCGCCTATCATCTTGAACCAGTCTGTCCATTCTCTGACCTCCGACATCAGCAAGGC